AATTATGTTGACACGCCACACATCATATATAATTGGCGCTTTGTAACCGCTGAAGTGATTTCCAGCCGAGCTCCTCCTCGAATTTGTGGTTGTTTTTGTTATTGTTGTAGCGACTCCCTAATCCTCCTTTTGGTAAAGGTTTGATCAATCTAAGTCGCCGAGGTCATCTAGTGGGAGGTCCAGAAAACGTGCTGTTTCGACGGGCTTGGACCAGAGGAAGAGGGGGATTAGATGAGTCGGTTTAAGGGAGTATGTCGTGCAGAAAGTTTCCTCATGCAGGGGTTACGTTGGACATGCTGGGGTCGAGTCTGAATAAGTTGAAGTTTAAACTGCTATAGTATCCAGACATAAGTTATGTCAAAGTCTCCCGGGTCTCTCGAGGCAGCTCGAGCTAGTTGTCTGCAATGGGTGGTGGTTTTTCTCTGAGCTTTCGATTCACGGGAAGGTGGTCTTTGAAGGTGTTGGCTGACTCCTGGTGAATGGAGTTCAGTGCCTGTCTGTACGCTGTCCTTTCCAGCGATTATTGTACGTATTGCTGGATGGTGTTTTTAAAGTCGAGTACTCCCTTTCCGATGTCTAAGTGGTGGTTCAGCTTCGATAAGATGCATATAGGGCTGTTCCCTGCGGTAGAATCTGTATAGGAATTGCAAAGCATTGTGCTCCTTAAGTCGTAGCATAGATGCTTCACTGTGCAAGTTATGCTCCGGCGACATCAGGAGGTTTTCTGCCGTGGGCCTGAGGGCGGGGTTGTACCGGCTAGCGCTTTGAGTATTTTGTCGCGGCTCTAGAGTTTTGCGGCAATTGCAGTGCGGAGTGCAGGATATCTAGTGTTACTCCCAATATCTATGGGTCGTATACAGTCAGATATTTAACGTCATCAACCTTCACAAGTTCAAGCCTATATAAATACGCCCGGAAAGGGTTAACATTCCCTGCCAAAGGTCGAATGCAATGAGAAAATTTTCTAAAACTTTTGCATGCTGCTCGTACCAGGATTTGAACCTGAGCCTTCCGAGCGTCAGTAGGCAATGTTGAACACCTTGCGATCGTGGCCGCCAATTAATATTAATTTAATAATTATTAATTGCAATTAAACAAAAACATTTGCTTTATTTTAATTCGAATTTCGCGATTTCAAAAAAACAGGGCATTTTTTTGTCATCTGTTGAATTTAACTGTTTTAGTTGAAAGCCAAGCTTTTATTAAAATGGATATTTTAAATGACCCCTAAACGCGTGAAAATTTTTAAAACCAACAATAAAAATGGTAATTCAAGCCCGGCCCCGTTTTGTGCTTTGAGGGTCTATTATGGTGCATACAATCGTCCAACTACGCAAATATTGGAAAAAAAATTTGCTCAAAGAAAGTGCAGCCGCATACCAGAATGTGTCTTTTTCCCTACGTTCTCAATAGCTAGGGCTTTCTTACGGGAGATTATGCCGTATTTTTCACTCAAACTTACACATCTTCTTCTGGAGTTAGTACCTCTTAGTACCTCTTACGCGATTACAGCCGAATGAATATTAGCGAGCCATTCATTTCAACTTTTCATTGTTTGGTGCCAGTAGGAAATTCCAAGTAAGAGCGGTAACTCTCCACCTAATCCTTCTAAAAAAGTAGAGGTTCCTCTGCTTCTACTAGCGAATACTTTCAAAGCTCGAGTGCTTTCATCCAGTCGAACTACATGACCTAGCCAGTGTAAACGTCTTGTCTATATTCGCTGAACTATATCAATATCTTCATATATCTCGTACACACAAAGGATCATAACTCGTTCGCAAGATTTTTCTCTTGAATACTCCAAAAGCCGATTCATCAGATATTTATATCGTCCAGGCTTCTGCGCCATATTGCAGAACGGGTATAGTGAGCGACTTGTAGAGTTTGGTTTTCGTTCGCCGAGAGATGACTTTACTTTTAAATTGTCTGCTCAGTCTGAAGTAGCACCTGTTGGCAAGAGTTATTCTACGTTGGAATCAAGGCTAACATTGTTGCTGGTGTTAATGGTAGTCCCTAAATAGACGAAGTTATTTACTACTTCAAAGTAATGGCTGTCACCAGTAACGTGGTAGCCGAGCCGCGAATGCGGTGACTGTTTGCTGGATGACAGGAGATATTTCGACTTGCCCTCGTTCACTACCAGACCCATAATGGCACGGTTGTAGAGTCTTATTACATCAATATCAGTAGTTGTACACTCTTGTAAAATACTGCATTCTACCTTTTTAGTTCTGTCTGAAACCTCGTTTGGTATCGAACGGGACGGAGAGGTTCTTCCCGATGCTGATGGAGCTCTTTATGTTGCTTAAGGTCAGTTTACAGAACCGCATATGTTTTGCGGGGATACCAAAATTCAGACATAGCGGCGTAGAGGCAGCTCCTTCTCGAGCTTTTGTGGGGAGTCATTCATACACCGGAGTGAAGACCAGTACTCGGCGACAGAGTCTCTCATAACAAATCCGACACCAAATTCGCGTTCCTTTATATGGCAGCTCTAGTAAATGTCACAAGAACCTACTCGCTTAAATCCTTGCCCCGTCCATCACACTTGTTAACCTGCGGTGATGTCAGAATTTAATTTTAAGAAGCCATCAACTAGCTGGGCAGCGCCGCCTATCCTATGAAGGGTCCGGAAAGTCTTGGTGCATGCCCCCAAATCGTAATCTATAGAATATGCGCGGTCGTTGTTAAACAGGGCGTCTCTCATTCGAGGCTTTCTTTGGCATATCAGTGGGGTATGTTTTTCATGTGGTGGGTCCCAAACCGTACGCAAAACCGCATGGGACTCGCCTTCTCACTTTAGCTCGCCTCCAAATGGATGTTTGTTGGCTACCCAGGGGATACTTGGACTAAGACCGGAAGTCATGACATGAGCCGCTTGAACCATATGCAAAATAATCGTTCTTGGCCACTCCCAGGTGAATGGCAGTCAAAAAATTTCTTCAGTTGAGTGTACTTCTACACATGGCACCGTCTACTCGCCGAGCACAAATCGAATTATAGAAAATTATTAAAAAATTATGCTAATTTATGTCAATTTCTCTATAAGAGTTTTTCTGATATGAAATAAAAACTTCTTCTATAAATATATCGGCCGAACTAAGGCAGCTTGGAATAGACTGCAGGTCGCATATCAAAAAATACCAATTATATATATCAATATAATATAATATGTCCACTGCAGTACATGTCATGGAAGTCAACTGTGTCTGACTCTGCTCCGCCCCACGCATTTCTTATACGACGGTGACGCGTGATTTACATTTGAGACCTGGCTAAAAACGTCATGTTGTCAAAACAAAATAAAGTCCCTAATGTTGCAACTTCACAAAACTCATCGCTAGCGTTAATTTTAAAATAGCTGCATGCTATGATATTAACAGCACAGTTCAATGTTAACTTTTAACATTATCTGTTACCCGTTGAACATTAAAGACAAAATTTCACTCCGGTTAAAAACGATATATAATTTATTTTGAAACCTGCTTTGACGATAGCATTTCCAAACGACTCAACCGAACCGATTGAAATTAATCGTTATGATGCAGCCTTGGTTTAAAAGTTTCTTCTAGTGTGTAAATTTATATCTATAAAATTTGTAGCTAAAATACTCACTCATCATCATTTTACCAGCCCATATAAAGAATTTCCTTATTAATTTCTGCTCAGCTTTATGAGTGAGCTATAAGTTTTCAATAACTTGAGGGCGACCACAACCAAAAAGCCTTTAGGCAAAATTTCAATTTATTACAGCCGAAACTGACAAACAATGAAAAGTGAAAAACAAAAGAAAATATAATAATAAAAATAAAAATATAAATAAATATACACATACATATTCTAAGATAGTATATATATATATATATTTATATATGTGAAAACTAAATGCCGTGATCTGTATGCTGCAACGTCAAAAAGTGGCAGAGATATTTGTCTGCCCAGTGCAAGAAAGATATAGTATATATATACAAGTACGAGGTATGTTAAAAAAAAATTGCGAATTTTGTGTTTCAAAGTAATCCCCATGAAATATTATACACTTGTGCCAACGGTTTTCCCAATCTTCGAAGCACTTCAAAAAATCATTTTTTTTATATCTTGTTCAGCTTCTCCTTCGATGCCGTCTTTATCTCGTCAATCGTAGCGTAACGTCGTCCTTTCTTGGACCTCTTCAGTATAGGGAACAAGAAAAAGTCACAGGGGGCCAGATCTGGGGAATACGGTGGCTACGGCATCATAAGTGTGTTGTTTTTGGCCAAAAAGTCGCGCACAAGCAACGATGTGTGAGCAGGGGCATAACTTACAGGTAATAATCCTTAATGACCGTTCTACCCTGTGGCAAGAACTCATGATGCACCACGCCCCTGCAATTAATTTTTTCGTCTGTTGTTGAAGTGCTCGGACGTCCGGCACGCTCTTCGTCGTTCACATCTTCTCGGCCTATTGAGAACATTTTGCACCGCCGATAAACATTGTTTTGGTCCAAGGTAGCTTATCCATATGCCACAGTCAACATTCGGAATGCATCCGCACACTTAATTTCGTTTTTCACACAAAATTTGATACGAAAAAATTCAAAATTCGCGATACTTTTTGAACATACCTCATAAATACATATATTATAAAGTGCTTAACAAATGACGAAGAAGAAGGAGTAGAATGCAAAAGTTTCTTACTTAAGCGATTTTACAATAAACCACAATAACCAGAGGGGGAGCGGGCACAAGGGGAGAACGCTTGAAGGCTGACAAAAGGAATAAATGTTACAAACATTGGTTTTAAGTGGAGAATTTCCACGATGTGCAAAGGAAGAGGGCAACTCAAGAAATGCGATAAGGAAAGTGGACGTAAAGTGCCTAAGAAGAAGAAAAATGAAAATAAAAACAAGTTGACCAACAAAAGTGGTCAGCTTCAATGCTATATACTTAGTATAAATTGCAAATATTACCACTGAGGGAATTCCACACACACACACAAATTTACATACACGTACAAAGAAGTATAAGCAAAAACATACAAATATATATTTTTATATAAAATGAGTGAATGGGCAAGTAATTCGTCAAAGGTCCTTCAACGTCAAGCAGATAAACTTATAAAGAAACAAACTCGCATACATACAAATGTACGTAAACACATATAATAAGAACACTAACACTCGAGCACTTTTACAATTTGCGAGCGCACTACACTCACTGCCCTGCCTACATACATACATATGTACATATTTATATACTAGTGATGCTCAATGGCAATTCCTGTTCTTCTTGGTAGAAGCATAAGCTGAAGCGGCAACAGCGTGTGCTCCGGAGCGATTGTGGGCCACAGTTGTTGTGGTTACTTAATCTGCCTCAATGCCAGCTTTCACTATGGTAAGCACTTCGGAAATGTTTCTGCCTGCAACTTTATATCTTCACGGCTGTGGCAATAGCAGAGCGGCAAAGCAGTGCCGCCTCATCATCGGCGGTAAGCGCTGGCGAAATATGTAGCAACAAAATACATACATATATACATACATACATAAGTACAACGAAATATTACCAGATCCTGAGCAGTAGCTACATTGTTGTGTTGAATTACCTCCGGGGACTTGGCCATAATATTCAATAGGAACAATATGGGGCAGCAGCAGCAGCAGCATCAACGCTCGAACACTTAGCGGCACAACAATACACAACACTAAAGGCAGTAAACATATCTTACTGTTGAGTGGTGTACTTTTTTTAATTCTTTTTTTTTTTTAAATTAAATTTTTTGTAAGAAAATATTGAACTTAATTTGAGCGCTCGCTATGGGAAATAAGTTCTATTGCCTTTTTCATTAAATGAGGTGCATAATTTTGTATGATACGCAAAATATAGCCAATGACAAAGAAAATGGGCATCTACATATAGCAGCAAGAGTTAGCTTATATGTCTTCCTATTAATGTTGTATTAAAATTTGGTGTTTTTCTCTGTAGTAGGCTTTAGGGCGCTTGAAATATCCACTCCACTTTAACATAATTTAATAAATCATTATTTAATTCCTTTTCGCAATGTGGGCAACCAAGTTGACAGGCAATAGAAAGCTGCTACGCTTTCGCTTATTCGGTAGCTTGAGACTTCAACAAACAGCTAGGAAAGTGTAACTACATAACATTCAATGTTTTTATATTTTTATACATAGACATGTATATATCCAAAGCCACGTATGTGCTTGAGTGATGCCAATTTAAATTAACTCGGATGGCTGACAGACCGCTCCTTTTGATAGAAACAAGCGAAGCCCTATTGTCGCAAATGTACGAAATTCCTCATCCCTTTTATCTACATCCTGCACAATACTTCATTCACTGTGAGGTACACTCGTTCTTTTGGCAAATTGAATAAATGACACTTCGTGCTAATAAAAAACGTGATTGAAATTCAAGATGCCATACGCATCATATTCGGCCGCCATTCGTCCATGCCTGCGGCTGCAACAGGCTTGGTGGGATTTTTACAGGCCATCACAGGAAGGGACGGTGCTTTGTGGAGTTTTAACTTTTGACGGCATAGGAAAATTTTTTCTTGTAAACCTTTTTAGTGGTAATTGAAAACAACTAGGTTTGATTTTTATTTTGTTTTTGTCTACTGCTTTCCATCAGTTTCCCAGCTAGCGTCATTGTCATTTGTCAATTTTTGGTTTGTTTCCGTTGGTTTTGACTTCTTTCATTTACTTTTATTCTTTTTTTTTCTTTATTGACCTTTTCACTTCGCTGCTATGTGAACAAAAAAGGCTCATTCGCTGTAACTTTCCCTATTTATCTGCTTTATTCTAACGCTTAATTAAAATTCATTTAACGTCGCAATCTGTTCCTACAATACTTTTACGTGTACTTCTGGTTGTTTTTGTTTTATGTTTTTTTTTTTTTTTTTTTGAAAGGATGTGCTGCTGAAATTGAAGTTAAGTTGACAGCTGAAATATAATTAATGTTCCGGTCAAAATTAGCACGGATATCTTCGAATAAAATGTACAGTGAATAAGCAATGTACTGGTAATATATATGCACATACATACCCTGCAGGTATAAACGAAACTAGTATCAATGAGAATTCATAAAGCTGAGCGTAAAAGAACAATTACAACAATTATCGTGATTTTTTTTTTGTTTTTACGAACGCTACCGTCAAAATTTTGGAAACTTTATTCTCAAACTTTCTTTTCCACTCATTTTTAGTGCAAACCAAAATCGAAAGATCAGGATTCTTAAGATTCTGGCGTGCACATTTTAATTTGCGCAAAGGAAATAACAACTAATAAATAATTATAAAAACCCTTGGATCCAATGATTAGAAAAAGTGTATATCGCAATCGTAGTAATTTGATAAATTCGCCTTAAATATTATAAATATTTTAGCTCAGAATATTATCAAAAATTTTGAGAGAAATAAAATTTCCTAACATCACATTCACTCTTTTTTTCTTGCCAAGCGAAGCTAGGGTAATGAACTTTTTACCACACTTTCTTATAGTTATGATCCTAAGCACTTGTTGGAAAAGTAGAAGGGTTCACCCCGAATGGCGTCCAATAAACGTCTCAGGAACTGGGACGATGTTGGGAGCAATTCCCTTTTGAAAGTCATTCACAGTGGCGTGGATGATTGCGATGGTTTTTTGTTTGATGACAGGAGATATTTCGTCTTGGCCTCGTTTACTACCAGATCCGTTTGCTTTGCGCGGTTTTTAATGATACAAATAGTTGTACACTCAAGTAAAAGACTGTGCCTTGTCTCATTATTTTTTCTGGCATCAAATTTGAAAAAATCGCGCGATAAGGGGGCACCGTGTCTGAAAACTCGTTTTGTACAGAACGGCTCGGAATTCTGACGGCACTTCCCGCGTTCCCGAAGACTGCTTTAAAATCGATGAAAGGGTGGCATGCATAGGTTCTCGTCAAAGATTGATTTACCAAGTCTAAAGCCACACGGATAAACTCCAATTAGGTCTGCATTATAAAATAAGCCTTACTAGGTTTTAACAATATATAGCTTGTTGAATTCCTTTAACCATCGTTCTGCAAATGGCATTACACCTTTGGTTTTCCAAATGCCACAAAATGTAAAAGGGCGAAAATCAGTTTAGTTTAAGTTCTTGGTGATATTCAGATCAATGTGTACTTTCCAAGACTGACGAAAAAACTGTGAATTGGATCCAACCAAACTGGCAGAAAGGACTAAACCCAATGTGAAAGCAAAGCTACGAGAGTTCAAACGGTTCCGCAGTTCTGAGATGGCTTAGCCAAAGAAAACACAGAAACCCTACTACTCACATGAGGGACCAATTAGTAGGGTATGTTGTTGTTGTTGCTGTTCTATCCGGAAAAATATTCCACAAAGTACTTTTTGGGGAAGGTGGGGGGAGTGACAGTCCTTGGCGGATAAAAAACCGGGTCGTTCCGGTATAAGACCCAACTGTAACGGGAACTATTGGATTTTAGTCGCCTCTTATGACAGGTATGCCTTAGCGCGGGTAAATTCTTGAAACCTGAACCCGCAGGGGGGACTAGTAAGGACCAACTGGTAATTCTGTGCCAGCAGAATACTAAACCTATAGGAGGAGCGCAGCAAGGCAAGGTACAGCACCATTAAGCTCCCTACATTCCTTTCGGGAATTAGTTGTCCGTAATACAAGCGGAGGTAATTTGGAATGTGCGAGCTAAGTAGAATAAAGAATTGAGAATGAGCCTGTGTGAGGATTTCACCTAGGCGTTATTCCTAAAGAAGACGTCGTCGTATTTGGAGTCCTGGTCAATTAATTCCTACTATTGTATTGATTTGTGGTTGGTCTTATCTTTTTTTCAGCATCTTATGCAGGATCTGGTAGCATCTAGTGTAGACAAAACCTTCAAAGAATGGATGCCCGCTTGAAGATGCCCCTATAAAGTATGAGGGTGTAGCTGAGAACTGGATACCATCTCTTGCATCTGTCAATTATGACAAAGTTGAGGGATGAATATGCTCCATCCACGTAAAGATTGTCGGGACACCACAATGAACCCTATACAGAAACAGTTGGCGAATAGGCTCACTTCTTCATAAGCGGATAGTCTCCTGGGAAACCTCGAAGAAGAAACATAATAACTACTCGTTGGAACAACGTGGCATCCACGAATCTGCTTAACCGCATATTGGAAGTTAAGTTTGATAATAAGTTAATCTAGAAACATAGTACCTCTCGATCTGGTGACCCTGTCCTAACCGCACTTCAATCCCAACTTTTTTATACCAGCTACGCGGGCAGTCTAAGGGCTTGCATGGTCTAAAAAAATACTATAAATTGTTTCCTTTAGCAATCTGTCAACCAGGGTTGTTACAGTGGTGCAACCTACAAACCATCCACAGCTTCCAGTATCCCTTTAACTGCCACTCGACGCCCCAATTTTACTCATATGTAAGATCTGAGCATGGTAACCGAATAAACTGGAGCAGGCGTTAACTGCTGTCATAAGGCTGGGGCAACTGAGATACCACGATAGCTCTGGCTGGCTGGCTCTATTCGACTACTTTAAATGTAAGGATCCTTTAACTCCAATTGCACATAGCACATCCATTTCTATAAAGCAGAAAGTTTTCATTGTAGTTTTTCGATTTTGTTGCATAACTGCACTTCTACTTTTAAGGGGTTAAAAAGCGGACAGCTCAAACTGAGTGTACAAAAACTTTTTTCCTAACAAAGAAAAAACAAGTTCTCCATTTAATACAATAATTTAACTCCAGCTTCAAATATAAACCACTTTCTAAAATCCACTTCCCACCTAATCACTAAAATCTAGAAATCGCCTGAAAAGCCATTGATAAGCCTGTGGGCTTATTTTGAGATTTCGCCCACTAACCTGCCCTGGTTGCTGTTATCGAAGGTAACGCCATTACCACAATTTAGTTAAACGCTTCGCGTGCCTACCAAAAAGGATAGGTAATATAGCAAATCTTCGACATGTGTAAATGTGTAAATGTGTTTATGTGTGTGAGTGTGTGTGTGGGTGTATGTGTGTGTGTGATTGTGCAGAGTATACGCCAGTGAGTGTTTATTGTATAGTTCACAGTTAGGCACATTCGGCTAATTTCGCGCATTTGCAGCAAACCGCAGGAAAATTCGCCAACAGCACACACCTCGACACACGGCACTGACCTCGACCAATTGTAATGGCAGTGCAAATGGATTGTGAGTTGCGTTGGTCGATGGGAGTTGCCGCGTCTGGCGGCTGATGCACATATGCCTGCCTATCAAATGTGCAATTTTTCTATTATTTTTTTTTTTTTTTGCCATCCCCAGTTTACGCTTCTTCTCATTTTAAGTTCGCTCAACAGTGACACCGAGGCCGCAACATACATAGCATGAGCGGCAAGCGCATGTTGCAGGCAGGGAGCATATTGTAGAGTGCAAAGTCACATACAACACATTCACAACAGCCGACATATGGTTACTCGTATGTTTTCAAACTGTTGTTGCTTATGTTGGCTGTTGGTGTCATGGTTTTGGTTTCGGTTGCTGTCGCTCTTGCTCTTGCAGCAGTTACTGCAGCTGTAGCGACTATCAGTACATGTATATTGTTTTGCTTGCTTACAAAATTGCATTTTGTGCATTTTGTAGTTAGTAATTACATTGCTGTTGTTTTTGCAACTTGTCCAGCAAAATTGTTAACACGCATGTTTGTTTGGATGTGACTTTTTTTTTTTTTTTTAATTAAAATTGCATTTTGTGCATTTTGTAGTTAGTAATTACATTGCTGTTGTTTTTGCAACTTGTCCAGCAAAATTGTT